AGGAAAATTTATAACACTAAATGCCCCCATGAGAAAGCGGGAAAGATCTAAAATCGACACCCTAACTTCACAGTTAAAAGAACTAGAGAAGCAACAGCAAACAAATTCAAAAGCTAACAGAAGACAAGAAATAACCAAGATCAGAGCAGGACTGAAGGAGATAGAGACATGAAAAACCCTTCAAAAAATCAATGAATCCAGGAGCTGGTTTTTTGAGAAGATTAACAAAATAGATAGACTGCTAGCCAGACTAATAAAGAAGAAAAGAAAGAAGAATCAAATAGACACAATAAAAATGATAAAGGGGACATTACCACTGATCCCACAAACTACCATCAGTACAAGAAGTACAAACTACCATCAGAGAATACTATAAACACCTCCAGGCAAAGTAACTAGAAAATGTAGAAGAAATGGGTAAATTCCTGGACCCATACACCCTCCCAAGACTAAGCCAGGAAGAAGTTGATTTCCTGAATACCACCAATAACAGGTTCTGAAATTGAGGCAGTAATTAATAGCCTACCAACTAAAAAAAAAGCACAGAACCAGATGGATTCACAACCTAATTCTACCAGAGGTAGAAAGAGGAGCTGGTAGCATTCCTTCTGACACTATTCCAAACAATAGAAAAAAAGAGACTCCTCTCTAACTAATTTTATGAGGCCAGCATCATACTGATACCAAAACCTGGCAGAGACACAACACAGAAAGAAAATTTCAGGCCAATATCCCTGATGAACATCAATGCAAAACTCCTCAATAAAATACTGGCAGACTGAATCCAGCAGCACATCAAAAAGCTTATTCACCATGATCAAGTTGGCTTCATCCCTGGGATGCAAGGCTGGTTCCACATACAGAAATCAGTAAATGTGATTCATCACATAAACAGAACCCATGACAAAAACCACCTGATTATTTCAATAGATGCAGAAAAGGCCTTCGATAAAATTCAACGCCCCATTCATGCTAAAAACTCTCAATACACTAGGTATTGATGAAACGTATCTCAAAATAATAAGAGCTATTTATGACAAACCCACAGTCAATATCATACTGAATGGGCAAAAGCTGGAAGCATTCCCTTTGACAACTGGCACAAGACAAGGATGCCCTCTCTCACCACTCCTATTCAACGTAGTATTGGAAGTTCTGGCCAGGGCAATCAGGCAAGAGAAATAAATGAAGGGTATTCAAATAGGAAGAGAGGAAGTCAAATTGTCTCTGTTTGCAGATGACATGATTGCATATTAGAAAACCCCATTGTCTCAGCCCAGAAACTCCTCAAGCTGATAAGCAACTTCAAGCAAAGCCTCAGGTTACAAAGTCAATGCGCAAAAATCACTAGCATTTCTATACACCAATAAGAAACAGAGAGTCAAACCATGAGTGAACTCCCATTCACAATTGCTACCAAGAGAATAACAAACCTAGGAATGCAATTTACAAGGGATGTGAAAGATCTCTTCAAGGAGAACTACATGAATGCTCAAGGAAATAAGAGGACACAAATAAACGGAAAAACATTCCATGCTCATGGATAGGAAGAATCAATATCATGAAAATGGCCATATTGCCCAAAGTAATTTATAGATTCAATGCTAATCCCATCAAGTTACCATTGACTTTCTTCACAGAATTAGAAAAAAACTATTTTAAATTTGATATGGAACCAAAAAAGAGCCCATATAGCCAAGAAAATCTTAAGCAAAAAGAGAAAAGCTGGAGGTATCACTCTAACTGACTTTTAACTATACTATGAGGCTACAGGAACCAAAACAGCATGGTACTGGTACCAAAACAGATATATAGACCAATGGAACAGAACAGAGGCCACAGAAATAATGCCACACATCTACAACCATCTGATCTTTGACAAACCTGACAAAAGCAATGGGGAAAGGATTCCCTATTTAATAGATGGTGTTGGGAAAATTGGCTAGCCATAGGAAGAAAATTGAAACTGGACCCCTTCCTTACACCTTATATAAAAATTAACTCAAGATGGATTAAAGACTTAAACATAAGACCTAAAACCATAAAAACCCTAGAAGAAAACCTAGGCAATACCATTCAGGACATAGGCAAGGGCAAAAGCTTCATGACTAAAAAACCAAAAGCACCAAAAACAACAAAAGCCAAAACTGACAAATGGGATCCAATTAAACTAAACAGTTTCTGCACAGCAAAAGAAACTATCATCAGAGTGAACAAGCAACCTACAGAACGTGAGAAAATTTTTACAATCTATCCATCTGACAAAGGGCCAATATCCAGAATCTACAAGGAACTTAAATTTACAAGAAAAAAACCAACCCCATCAAAAAGTGGGCAAAAGATATGAACAGACACTTCTCAAAAGAAGACATTTATGTGGCCAACAAACATATGAAGAAAATCTCATCATCACTGGTCATTAGAGAAATGCAAATCAAAGCCACAATGAGATACCATCTCACACTAGTCAGAATGGTGAACTTTAAAAAGTCAGGAAACAACAGATGCTGGAGAGGATGTGGGGAAATAGGAACACTTTTATACTGTTGGTGGGAATGTAAATTAGTTCCACCATTGTGGGAGGCAGTGTGGCGATTCCTCAAGGATCTAGAACCAGAAATACCATTTGACCCACCAATCCCATTACTGGGTATATATCCAAAGGGTTATAAATCATTCACATGCACATGTATATTTATTGCACCACTATTCACAATAGCAAAGACTTGGACCCAACCCAAATGCGCATCAATGACAGACTGTATAAAGAAAATGTGGCACATATACACCATGTAATACTATGGAGCCATAAAAAAGAATGAGTTCATGTCCTTTGCAGGCACATGGATGAAGTTGGAAACCATCATTCTCAGTAAACTAGCACAAGAACAGAAAACCACACACCGCATGTTCTCACTCATAGGAGGGCATTGACCAATGAGAACACATGGACAGGGAGGAGAACATCACAAACCGGGGCCTGCTGGGGTTGGGGAGGGGAGGGATAGCACTAGGAGAAATACCTAATGTAGGTGACGGGTTGATGGGTGCAGCAAACCACCATGGCACATTTATACTTATGTAACAAACCTGTACATTCTGCACATGTATCCCAGAACTTAAAGTACAATGAAAAAAAAAAAAAGTATCCTTCCAGTAATGGCTATGGCTTTACACTGAACCAATCAAATTCTGTTACACAGCCTATGCTGTGACTACTCAAATTTGAGGGAGCAATGACCAGGATCTTTTTTTCCTTTCTGAATATTCTTGAAGGATTTTGAAATAGAATTGCTCCTTGTGGAGAGGCAGATTCTTTGGTCTTATTAGCACTACACAATAAGTAAGTGATTCAGTGCATAGAAGGGAGAAATGTGTTTACCAACTAAAACTAGCCAAATCTAGAATGATTATTAAAAGATTCCAAAGTAGGTGCTGAAAGAGGTCTTCAAGGACTGAAACTGGTCAAGTCTGAAGGTTATTCCAGTGGAAAATGGTAGTACATGAGAAGGCTAGAAGTTGGGGACAATAGAAGTAGCTAAATTGGGCTGAACCCTAGACTTTTGTTCTGACCAAGGAAATGAATTAAGGAAGTGTGAATTCTGGGTTTCTACTACTGGCCTCTAGGAACCACTGGTCTTTGGGAATTGCCAGTAGAAGTAAGCAGGGATGCCTTCTTTCGTCCAGATGTTTAAATATCCGTGTAAAGATTTCTTCTCTTACGCAGGAAGTTGCTAGTGTTAAATTACACCTTTTATCTTCATGGTATTATCTCAATTCATTGCAGACACAGTTGTGTAAAATACAGTAAAAATGCAATACTAGAAAATTGAAATTAAAAAGACAAGTTTTATTATTAGACATAACAAACAAAATTACTTTATCAAATTGCTATAAAGTTTCTATATCCTTCCTCTCAATGTCTGACTCGTTGCAGACAGGTAACAGGTTGCACTTCGAGTGGTTTGTTTCATACTAGCAGTGCTTCTCTAACTTTATGAAATGCTCATCCAGGGTTCTTGTATAAGTGCAATTCTTATTTAGTGGGCTTGGGCAGGCCTGAGATTATTTCTGACAAGCTCCCAAGTGACACTGATGCTGCCGATTTGTGGCCCACACTTCATAAACTCTTTGATTTTCACAGTAACACTGATGTGACAGCAATGCTGCTGGCGTGTGGCCCATACTTCATAACTATTCATAAACTGTTTTGATTTTTACACTGATCTTTTGAAAATTTTTGTTCCATTTTACTCATGTTTAAGTCAGATTTATTGAGATATCCCAGAATAAATTAATCCATGTTAGTGTGCAGTTCTGCTGGCACACACATACGGTTGTGTAACCACTACCACCATGATAAGCAAGATGTAAAATAGTTCCATCACCCCCACAAGCCTTCTGATGCTCTTTGTCATCAATTCCCCTCCCCCAAGTCCCAGGCCCTGGTAACTACTGATTTGCTTTTTGTCCCTATAGTTTTGCCTTTTCCAGAATGTCATTGTTGACAGGTATCAGTAATTCATTCCTTTTTATTGCTAATTACTATCTCACTGTATAAATGCAACACAGGTTGTTTACGAGTTCACCCATTAAAGAACATTTTGTTTCTGAGCTTGACTGTTATGAATAGAACTGCTATAAACACTCAAGTGAAAGTTTCGGGGTGAAGATAATTTTCTCAGCAAATATGTTGACAGGTAATGTTTCTAAGTATTACTTTTTTAAAAAAAGGTAAAATAGCCTGTAGCCCCAGGTACTCAGGAGGCTGAGGAAGTAGAATCACTTGAACCCAGGAGGCGGAGGTTGCAGTGAGCTGAGATTGCGCCACTGCACTCCAGCCTGGGCGACAGAGCGAGACTGTCTCAAAAAAAAAAAAAAAAAAAAAAAAGTAAAATGAAAGTGTGTAAGTGTGAGATGACTAATTCAAGCAACCGCTCTTCATGTACAGAGTATTCACAGCAGGGATTAAAAGAGATTTTCAAGGACAGATAGAAAATTTGTTGAAGTTTGAAGGCAGTTCCAAAGGAAAGCAATGATTCTTAATACGACTGGAAGTTGGAAGTAATATAAAAAGATAAATCAGTTTCAAGATGACTTTACTAAGCAGGCAGCCCTTAACTTACAAATTCTAGATTCATATATATCTTAAACATACAAAATGATATAAGGGGAGGTAAGCTCAGGTCTGAGTTCCTGGCTGTTGGAACAACTGATTTCTGTGTAGTGATTCAGAAGATGTGAGACAGCCTAATTTACAAGTACAGAGGTGTCTTCTTTCCTGCAAACAGCAGTACAACAATAGTTTCTCTTAAGCAACTGTGAATGAACAGAATTATTACAATTAACGAGATCTCATTTGATGGACGCCTTAGATAATTAAGACCATTCACACATAATATACAACCTTGTTGTGAAGGCAGATATTTACATTCTCATTTTACTGATGAGAGACTACCTGGAGAGGCTATGTCACATCTGAAGGATTGGGTACTTTCTCTGTTGAGTCCAATGTTCCTTCCGTTATTCCATGCTAGGCAGTAACAAGTTCTGTCTTGCCTGAGTAATAAGCTCCAAACCTCGGAACCGCACCCAACTTGAGCAGGAGGAGGGCGCTGTTTTTTCTGATAAGCGCAACTGGCAGACACTCTATACGCTTAATCACGGGCAAATCGTAGCTAAGCTGTCTACCAAACTAGTCCCTCTTTTTTCCATTGCCCACGTAGATGGCTGTTGGTCTTTTCTGCAACAAATCCAGGAGTTTCTCCTTTTTGTTTTTATAGTTGCTCCAATAGAAGCTTTCGGATTTAACTCTCCGCTTTTTAAAGCAGAATCGCCATCCCAGGTGCGCAACCACGAAAAAGTTAGACATCCATGAGAGACAATGCCCTCCATGGCCCACTTTCCAGGCAGAGAGAAGCGGCTCTGGGCGGACCGCCAAGGCTCTGGCCCGAGGGGGTCTTTAGGTGGAGTAACCGGTCTTCAAGACCCGGCTCCCAAACCACTGACGCGCTGACGCTGCAGCCCTAGACCTTCTGGGGTCCTCCTCGTCCGACCTGCACTGCTGACGGCGGGACTGGCAACCGGACGGAGATCGACCCCGGGCCCGCACAGCCCCTCCCGAGATCCACCTCGCAGCTCCCTCACTTCCTGCCCTCCGGAGGCGGACCCGGCCAGTGCCGCGGAGGCCAGCGCGGCGAGCTCCTCCCCAGCAGCAGCGGGACGGCCACACCCTGCGCGTCGCGCGGGCTCGGGTGAGGTCTCCGCTCCTGCGCCCTGCGCGCCGCAGCCGCACACCAGACGGCGCCCCAAACGCTGTTGAGCCGCGCGTCCCGCCCAGCCTGGCCTCGCGCTGGTCCCAGTCGCGCCCTGCAGCCCTCGATCTCCCGTGACTTCCTCGGCCAGGCCGCCCACCCCTCTGGGACCATGTTACGCTGGCTGCGGGGCTTCGTGCTGCCCACCGCGGCCTGCCAGGAAGCGGAGCCACCGACGCGCTACGAGACTCTCTTCCAGGCGCTGGACCGCAATGGGGACGGAGTGGTGGACATCGGCGAGCTGCAGGAGGGTCTCAGGAACCTGGGCATCCCCCTGGGCCAGGACGCCGAGGAGGTGGGTCGCCGCCGGGGCGCCGCCTGAGCGCAGGGAGGGCTGCGGGCGCTGGGGACGCTGCGAGGACCGAGGAGGGCGGCAGCCCGAGGCGTTGCCCGGAGGAAGGAGGAACTGTGGCGCCCAGCGCTCCGGTGGCTTCAGAAACTCGGGCATGGGGCCGCGACCGGCGACCCCGGTAACAGAAGTGGGTCATAATACAAAAGGCTACTGGTATTTGTCCAGATAAAATGAGTGTTGTGGACACTGTGGCCCACGGGCACTGTTAAATTTTTAAGACCGCTTTGTCCTGAATCTATCCCAGGTTCTTTGTCTGTTTTTTTGTTTTGTTTTGTTTTAATACCTTGCAAACATGTAATCATTTTTAGCCGTCAGAATTAAGTGTGTCCCAAGTTCTGTAAAAAGGCGCACACATTCGATCTCTTCGAAGCTGCTTTGTTACACCAGCTATATGTGTTGTCTGCTGTTTCAAAACTGTTTGAAAAAGAATCGCATGTTTCCCCCACTTCCTGTTGAGAAGGAATGGCGACATTCCATTGTTTAAGACTTTCCTAGGTTAATGCCCTAGGTACAGAAATTGATCTGAAGGTTTAACCTGCGGCTGAGCAATTTAGTTTTCTCTGAGTCATCTTAACTGTGCCCCTGAACTTCTGCCCCTTTAGTAGGGTGGAGATATGTGGAACTTCCCCAACCCTGTTGAAGTGTTCCCTGACACTGGCATTCTCTATCCAAAGAGGGAAAGTGATTAGGTTACTATGAGGGCCTACAACTGTTATACTGTTATATTTAACTTCTCTTTTAATGTCTTTGGTAGTTACAGGCCTCTTCAGTTTACTGTTTCTTCTAGAGTCAGATTTAGTAAGTTACAATTTTTTTTTTTTGAAACTGCCCGTTCTATCCAAGGTTCATAATACTCGCTGATGATTTTATAAAACTTCTGAGTATATCTGTAGGTAGGTTCTCTATTTCATTCCTCATATCTATCCTTTTCTCCCCTTCAATCTTGCCAAAGTTTTGTGTATTTTATTCATATTTTGAAAGAATCAACTTTTGGGACTTTTTGCTGATTGTCCCAGAAATGGCCCTGTTGGAGTTCCCCACCATGTCCAATCATTGGCTGGAAGCAGCCCAGGAAAGGGACAGCCTTGCTGCAGTGCATCAGCAGATGCCAGGGCTAGAGGCTAGAGGGTGGAAGTCGGCTGTGTTCCTCACAGTAGTCACCTTTGAAGGGAGATCTCAGTGGTACGCTCCATAGTCCCTACAATATACAAAAGCTTTTTGGAGTCCTCAGTGATTTTTAAGATTGTAAAGGGATCCTGAGATCAAAAAGCTTGAGAATCGGTGCTGTACCATCTTTTTTATATAACTGCATCATATTCTGTTATATGTTTGTATCATAGTATATGTTACCAATTCTTTTTAAACCACTATTTAGCTTATTGATAGTTTAAAAACGATGTAAGTGAAATTGCAATGAATGTCCTTTGTATTCATTTTCTCATTCTGGTCCAGTGACTTTCATAGGATAAATTTTGAGAAGTGGACATTGCTGAGTCTGAAGGTAACATGCATTTTAAATTGGGATACATATTACCTTTCGGAAACCTTGGACCCATTTTCACTCTTTTTTGACTGACAGTGCTTGCTTCTCCACATCCTCACTCATTCAAGGTACCAGTCTTTATAAAGTCTCCTATTCTGCAGGTGGAATTCCTTTTCACTTCCTGTCTTAGTCCATTTAGTGTTGCTATAATGGAATACCTGAGACTGGGTAATTTATAAAGAAAAGACATTTATTTAGCTCACAGTTCTGCAGGCTGGGAAGTTTAAGAAGTGTGGTGCTGGCATCTGCTGGGCTCTTGGTGAGGGCTTTTCTGCTGTATCACAACATGGTGGAAAGTCAGTTGGAAGTGGACATGTGTGAAGAAGCAAAATCTGAGGGTTGTTCTGGCTTTATAACAATCCAGCCTCGAGGGAACTGATCCATTCCTGAGGGAACTAATTCAGTCTCATGAGAGAGAGAACTCACTCACTACTGCAAGAATGGCACCAAGCCATTCATGAGGGATCTGCCTCCGTGACCCTGACACCTCCTGCTAGGTCCCTCCTCCCAACACGGCCACATCAGGGATCAGACTTCAACGTGGGTTTTTGTGGGGACAAGCAAAACATAGTACTTGCTTTGCCTTTTTGTTCTATTCACACCCTCCACAGGATTGCATTATGCCTACCCATTTGGTGAGGGCAGTCTTCTTTAATTGGCTTACTGAGTCAAATGCTACCCTCCTCCAGAGACATCCTCACAGACACACCCAGAAATCATGTTTTACCAGCTATCTGGGCATCCCTTAGTCCAGACAAGTTGATACATAAAATTAACCATCACACGTGGGATAGAATTAGGATTACATTTATGGGGGGAAATTTCAGAGGTGTGTCAGGGGTTTGTGTAATGTCAAGGAGTAAGGAGATTGGCCACTTGGGCATAGAAATGAGAACTGTGGGATGACTCTTCAGTGGAAAGTTTCAAGGTAGTAGTTTGTATTGAAACCAAAACTCAGCTTGAAGCGAAATCTCTACAAACTTTCATCTGATTTGATCTCATCTCCGTGTTTCCAAGCATTTGTAATGAATTGAGCATTTAGAAGAGAACAAATTTCTGTTTAAGTTTCTTTAGATTTTAGATGGAAAGAATGTAGAAATAAGAGTAGAATGTAGAAATAGGCATAAGGACTATAATAGCTAACCATTACTAAATGTTCCAGAATTATCCAGGGAAGAGAAAAGAATTCAAGGCAAGTCCTGAGACAAAATTAAGAACTAATTAGAAGTGAAAGCGTACATTTTTTTTTTTCTGATATGACCTTTCTTTTCTATATGTTCCAAATCTCCTCATTATGAAATTAGTAAAAAATTAAAGTTAAAAATTAGAGAAAATTCACATTAAGTTCTCCTACGACTCAGTAGTATAAGGGTATAGACTCAGAGTAGAATGTAGTATGAGAACAAGAAGATACAGTATTTAACATTACTAATTTTCTCATACTTGTCTAGTAATCCTATTTCCTTTTTAAAATCTTCAGTTATTTTCTTCTCTTTATGCACCTCCTTCTCCATCTCCTCTTCCTCCTTCTACCCCCATCTTCTTCCTTTTTGTGGAGCCCTCAAGAATGGGATTAGTGCCTGTATAAAAGTGACCCAGAAGAGCTTCCTTGCCCCTTCTACCGTGTGAGGACACTGAGAAAACAGTGGTCCATGGAACCAGAAAGTGGGTCCTCACTAGACACTAAATCTCCTTGCACCTTGATCGAGGACTTCCAGTGTCTGGAACTGCAAGAAATCAATGCTTATTGTTTAAGTAAGCCAATAGTATTTTTGTCATAGCAGCCCAGATGGACTAGGACAATTGCCAAGAACAAGAAGGGAAGCCGCAAGCTACGAAAGGTTCCATCCTTGATATGAATTGACTGTGTAACCCTTGTCAAGTTTGAACCTTACTGGAGCTTTACTTTCTATTCTTAAAATGCAGATATCTTGCCTACGTCCTGAACAGAGCTTTTAACAAGGTCATATGTGGCTGAATATGAAATTTCATGTTAAAAAACCCTTTAAAATGTGGCGTCCCATTTACTAGCTGGTAAACTTCTTGAGGACCCTCTGTGCCCGTGGGTATGAAGTGTATGCCGAATGATCACCCAGTGTTAGAGGAGTGGGTGGACTGGTAACCTGATTTAAGGGCCCTTCTAACTCTTACATTCTATGATTTTTTTTATTCTGTCTTTAAATTTTTACATTTACAATCACAGAAAAAATAGTCACATAGAAGAATAGTAGCTTAGCAAATGTTTATTGCATTGAATGGAATCAGGATTCACTCCATTAAGTAATTCCTCTGTTAACAAGGAGAGTTCATTCCATTTTTATTTCATTAATATTGCTTTTTTTTTTTTTTTTTTTCCTGGAGACAGAATCTCGCTCTGTCAGCCAGGCTGGAGTACAGTGGTGTGATCTCGGCTCACTGCAGCCTCTCCTTCCTGGATTCAAGCGATTCTCGTGCCTCAGCCTCCCAAGCAGCTGAGATTACAGGCACATGCCACCACACCTGGTTGATTTTTGTGTTTTCTAGTAGAGATGGGGTTTTGCCATATTGGCCAGGCTGGTCTTGAATTCGTGGCCTCTAGTGATCTGCCTGCCTCTGCCTCTGAAAGTGCTGAGATTACAGGCATGAGCCACCATGGCTGGCCCATTTACTTAATATTTTAATTGTCAGACACTTTATGGTTTCTGGCACAATATTAAGGAGACATGATATAGAAATGATAGGGTGAGTTTTTGGGCATCACAACAGAAAGATTATGGTATAAGAAAAACAATGAAATTCCAACTACATTTCTATCAAATGTTCTAAAATATATAAAATCTGTATCTTTTGTGTTTTCTCCTGATTTATATTCCAAATTTGATGTTACCCTTCTCTGCAGAAATAAAGTGTCTGAAAGAATGAAAAAAATGGAAGAATTCTTTAGTAAGGCATAAAATACCCTTTCAATCTTTGTAGCATTCTAAGCCTTTTCAGTCACCTTTCCAAACTCTCAACATGCCATATTCCCTGACTAGACCACAACTGTGTACATTGATCCCTTTATTTTCTTCTCTCTGCCTGAGATTTCTTTCATTCCCCCTTCTCTGCCTGGTATATGATTCCCATTGTTTAAGGGCGCAGCTAACCTTTATAATTTTCCTAGCCCACTTTCTTTATCGGTATTCTGGAAAAAACATTTAGAAAGAAGCTTCCACAAGACAACATTCTGTAATACACTGTTTATTTTGACCATACTGAGTTCAAAAATTTTATCTTTTTAAGGATCAAATGGAGCCCACCAAGTTATCTATATTTGACAGGATTTATGAAAACAAAAGGATTTGTTGAGAAAGTTTGAAGCCTAACCCTGAAATGTGGATCGTAGTGTTTACTACACATGAACTGGTTTAGTGGATATAAT